TGAAATAATCCGTTAATTTTATCAGAAAAGCAGGATAATCACATAGTTAAAAAGAAAATCTTATCAATAAAATGAACAAGCAGAAACATATGGTTCACGAGGACATCTGAATAAGCTTTTAAGTTTCTGGAACGCAGTATTATTCAATGACAAAAGCAAATTTAACAATTTTGAATCAAATGGAAGAGTTATGAAGAAAACACAATCAGCAGATGCAATGTAAAAATTTGTATCTAATCGTGATTCTAATGACTAGCATGAAATTGTAAAGGTATAAATTAATATATGAAATTTGGAATTTATTGACTATAATTAAATAACTCAACATGTTTATTTAAACACTATATAACATATACAGTAAAAATTAAATCTTAAAGATTCATTCGTCTGTCAACATAACAATTTCAAACATACGTACATTGAGAAAAGTAAAGGAATGTCTGGAATTTAACTTAACAATAAATTTTATTTATTAACTGAACAACTAATATCTGAATATCAAAAAACTATACAAATAATATTAATTACTTAAAATACATTAAAAAATTTAGATTCATTATTATATTTGTAGTATTTAAGTATTATAACAATAAAAATAATAGCAAATAAAGTTAAATAAAAATGATATTATTCACATAACTGATTTATATGTATATAATTTTAGTAGATATCAATTTTGATATGGCAAGTAAATATTGACACATTTTCAATTTATATATAAAATTATTTTAGGAATTATACGTGTGATCTCCTTAACAATTACATGCGTTATTGCAATAAGAATCCTTAAAAATTTCATACACCTTGTCAATAAACGGACATAAATCCCATAGACCTAGTTACATTGATTTATTTGATACTAATTAGTAATTTTCTATTAAATTATCTAGCTGCGTGAAGTTGGCACCCCTAATACGTACGAATTTTGACAAAATCTATATGGCATTAGATTGTCCACTATTTGTCCATATTTGTCTAATAATAATAATTTTTTATCCACTCTTGGAAAAATTAAAAAAACATTTTTTTTTAACGTTATGTACTGTTATAGCTGCGTGAAGTTGACACCCCTAAGTACAAATTTTGGCAAAATCTATATGGCATTAGATTATCCACTATTTGTCCATATTTGTCTAATAATAATAATTTTTGTCCACTCTTGGAAAAAATTAAAAAAAGAATTTTTTTTAACGTAAGCACTCTTAAGTGCGTTTTTTTATAAATTACATACGGGATTGTCCACAATTTGTCTGCATTTATCCATCAATAATCGTTTTTTGTCCACCTTGCTACAAAAAATTAGAGCAATGATTTTTTCCAAGAGTAGACAAAAAATTATTATTATTGGACAAATATGGACAAATAGTGGGCAATCTAATGCCATATAAATTTTGTCAAAATTCGCACTTAGGGGTGCCAACTTCACGCAGCTAAATTATCTTAATTTCTACAATGCGTTTAAAGAATGATGTACTAAGCTGATATGCATTAAGATGATTAATTAAATACACATCATGTATACGTTTACATGCATCGTCGAAATTAAGAAAATTTAATAGAAAGTTACTAGTTAGTACGCGTATCAAACGTTTGGTGTAAACTAGGCCATTGAGTACTTATGGGATGAAATTCACAGATGTTAAAAAAACATTAAATGTAACGAAAATCAATTAAAATATGCAATACAATATGAACAATATTGAACCACTTATTACAGTAAAATTAATCGCTGTAATGAAAAAGCAGATAAGGAAGCTTTAAAGCTAAAGGAGAAATATCGATCATCAAGAATAGGAAAAATAAATAATTTCAGACATTTAATATATGTATTTATATTGCTGTGTACGGAGACTTTTTTTTACTTTCATCAAGTTTTCTTATACGTATATTCAATTTATTTGTTAACTGTCAGAATAAGTGAAAATCGACCAATATGTGAGTAGATAATAAGTAGGAATAAGCCTATTTGATCAAAGCAAATTTTGGTGCTTTTTGCGTGAATTTATTCACATTATCCAGTCTATACAAACTACGCGCCAATTACTTGCAATAAATATGCACAAGCTTCAAATGTAGTGAGTGATCGAATTGGTAAAAACCCGTCACAAAATGTAATAAAGTCCAATTCGAACTGGGTGGAATGACATTTTTTGCGATACATTTTTTACAATGTTTTAAGAGGTTCATTAGCATCAATATTATTAAATTGCTTGTCAATTTAATTTGTGATATTACGATTCCAGCTTCAGTTTAGAATTGTGTTTCAAGATTAACAAATAATCGCATATTTTGCATAAACTAGAAAATGTATAAAAAATATAAAAATTAATGCAAAATTATTAGATACCATGATCCGCTTTGACTAAATAAGCTTGTTTCTATTTATTGTTAATTATCACAACTTTTCTGTTCTCATAATAAATATTATGTTTTTAAGCAAAATAATCCAAAAAATGTTTAGTATTTGATAAATTAAAGTTTGAATTAAAGTTATTTATATTAAATAAATGCGCACGCATGGAGTCTTTTTAAATTGAATGTAAGTTTCATTTTCTACAACTTTTAAAAAAATTCCGGAAATTTCTAGAAAATTTATTAATTTTTAATTTTGACAATTTTATGTTTAAATTAATTAATTTTTAGGTTAATTTTCAAAAAATTTTTTGAGAATTCCAAGTTTTTTAAGTAATAAATATCCTTAATTATATTATTCATATTATTTATTAATTAAAGATAATATTCGCAATAATAAAATCATTCATGCCTACTAATGCTTTACCTATATACAATATACATGTATATCGTCGTTATTGTGACGTCAAATAACATGAATGTTTACTATTTCTGCATCAGTCATGAGTCACATTTCTCAGAAGTAGCCGTACAAGTGAATCACGCATAATTCAGATTTAATAGTGAATGTCAAAGAATGTGGAAATGAATCAAATGTAGAAATTAATTCTATTGGTTTAAAAATTTTTTTTATATCTAAAATCTTTTACTCAATCTAAACTTTTTAAATTTACAATATGAGTGACAAGCGTTATTAATTATTACGCAATATATTATATAATATTCAAAACATAAATATTATATTTTTAAAAATATACGTCTCACACAAACACTTAAAGATTTAATTATAGCTTTTTTTTTTAAAGAAAATTTATCGTTTTGCGACCCAAAATATTTATTTAAGTAAAACATGTACCTTCTGGATACCAATATTGTATCCTTTCCATAGTGTCGCCCCAGTCTTTCGGCAGATTCTCGCGGGTGTCGTTTTGAAATATTTCCACGATCTCTTCCATTGCCGAATAATTCGGTTCGAAATCTCGACCGATTAGGTGTTCCTTTTTTTAGGTAATATTCGTTCACTGTGACGTAATAAATTAATTGCAAATGTCACTTTCTATGCTGCATGATGACAATGCCGAACTCGAAGAATTTTCATTTCGCGAATATGCAAATATTAGTGTATTCGTTATCTCAAGATGTAACCAATAATTTTTTATAAAATCCAAAAGCGATTTATAATATATCGGTAAGTAAAATACTAACAATAACATTTTATTTGTTTTTGGTAAAACATCGCGTGCGATTAGAATAAGGAAACTAATGTTTTTCATGATTTTCAGTTTTTTTAACTAAACATTTATTACTTTCATATTTTATTCATACTTTTCGAAAAAATATCAAATGTACGATAAAATATTTAACAATAATTAATCATGCATACTTTATATTTTACATAATTTTATTTTTCCATTAAATGCAAATGTCCTATTTCTAAATTAAATCCGAACTGCTTGTATGCAAAGCAAAAAATATGTATGAATAAAACGGTCAAGAAACGAGCACAGATTAATAAACTAGATGTAAAATAAAATTAAAAACTTTAATAGAGTCATTAGATAAAATTCTAGAACGTTTCGAAACCATACAGCATTTAAATAATAATGATTACATTTTATAGAATTATGGTTAAAATGCAATTACATTAATAAGGGGTCCAGTCACCGGTGTCTACAATGGACTGGCATCTCTTCCGGGGCATACTTTCCACTACACAGTCTGTCTAATAACAGCGTGGTCGCTATTATTCGCAACCGGTAAAAGATGCACTCCTAACTTTTTTTTGTGCCGACAGGTGTTACCTTTCTCCTTGATGCGTTATTAGTCCATAATATCAGTTATCGTTTGAATCTTGGTAGAAAAAACGTGTGTCAATATGGAACTTCTTACGCATCGCGTTATAAAGACCTCTATCAAGCTAGCAGAACCAAATGAGCAGAATCAAACCGGACAAACCTATCCAATTTTTTAGTACCCAATTTGTACTAATTTGTACCACCAATAAAAATTTTGTACCTCGTGCCGTTTTGAAGAAAAACGTGGCGCTGCTAGTTTTATATTAAGTTAACAGGACCACAAAAAAAATTTATAAAAAATAAATAAAAGCATGTATAATTAGTACTGATTTTGTACTAATTTGTACCACATAAAATAAATTAATATTTCAAACTTAATTAATATAATCATTACCTTATAATATATCTTTTGTTTCAATTTCCTTTGAGAGTCAAAACTCTTTTCCTTCAGCAAAATCGAA